AGACCAATACTAGTTTGATGAAAAATTTCCTTGATCAATGAGAGGTTAAATTTCAAACTATCAGCAAACAGGAAGTGGATGTACTGCAGATCTATTCAATGTGTTGAAACGACATGAAAACCAGCATAGCGGAACTAAACATAAACTTGGTCTGTAACTCATCATGGTAGACTCACATATCAAAAAACAGCCCAATTTCTGAAGGCGTTTAGAAAAAATATCCGTATAACTATGATTTTCAACAATTTATCAAAGTCCAATACCTTAATTTCGGCAAAAATTAGCAGAGTGGAACGAAACTTAAACTTGATCTGTAACTCATCATGGTTAACTCTCATACCAAAAATCAGCCCAATATCTGAAGCCAGTGAAGGCGATTAAAAAAAATTGTGTATAATGGTTTGTTGCGGAATGATGGAATGACGGAATGACGGAATGACAGAATGAAGGAAAGACAGAATGACGGAATAATGGAATGTTGGAATGACGGACAAGGGTAAAACTATATGGCATAAAACCATAAAAAAGAAGTTGTGGTATGATTGCCAACGAGACAACTCTTCACAAGACACCAAACGATACAGAAATTAACAACTAGGGGTCACTGTACGGCCTTCAACAATTAGCCAAGCCCATGCCGCATAGTCAGCTATAAAAGGCCCCAAAATGACAAATGAGTTGAAAACTGATTTGCCGGACTGACGGATGGACAGACAGACAGACAGACGGACGGAGTGCAAACCTAACATCCCCTTCGACTTCGTCGGTAGGGGACTTATAAATGTATGCAAAGCATATATGCATGTATAAAGCTTTTATATACAACTATAGATATTTGTGTATACAACAAGATGAATATTAAGGACTGTCCTTCAAAAACTACATCAATTATACTACTATGTATTCAAATGCATCACACCAGATGCTATATCTACTAATGAAACAAAAGAAACATTTTAATACATTCCACTTAATAGTCATGTTTTGCTGAAAAATTTAATACGATTAATTGATTGTTGGTTACTTAACATCCAATGGTAAAAAATTCAGCCTTGCAACAGGCCACCTACTAACCCCTCAAAGAGTTGTAGTAGGAGGTTTTAATGCCCAAAGTGTATGACACTCTCCTTACATGAGGCATCAGATTTAACATCCCAACTCTTACCGGACATGGCTGTGCACTTATACATCCAGCAAAGCCATACAAATGCCCCACTCTAGCAAGGGTTTTACTTCCAGTCAAAGGAAGACCTATGGTGACCATATTTCTATTCCCAATTAACCCTAGGGGGAAGAAAAATTTTATCATGTTTATAGCAATCAGATCTTTATCTATATGGGGATATTGCTCCATTTTGAAGGCTATACTGTGAACTTAACTAGTTACAAACCTCAACAAATTTGGTCTCTGCTGGAAGTTTGTCTCATTGACAATCATACAAATTCTAATTTTTAGAAGACTTTGTAAATTGTTAAGTTGGATTGATGTGTTATAATAACCTATATTCAATTACCAAAAACACTTTCTTGTCAAATTCCTTGCTTTAAAACTTTGTATTGATACTAGCAAATATAAATAAAAGTTTCAAGGCAAAAAAAAACTTTTATTATAAAAGTAATAGAGGCTCTTAAGAGCCTGTGTCGCTCACCTGTATTTACTGATGCTTTGGAAATCATGTAAAATAAGGTTAAAATCATAATTAGTAGTATTAGATATTAGATATTATAATGATATCTAAGATAATAACAAAAAACTGCAAAATTTCTGTAAATTTACTAACTCAGGGGCAGCAACCCAACAGCGGGTTGTCCGATTCTTCTGAAAATTTCAGGGAAGATAAATCTCAATCTGATGAACATTTTTGCCACCTGTCAGATTTGCTCTAAATGCTTTAGTTTCAGAGATATAAACCAAAAACTGCATTTTACCCCTATGTTCTATTTTTAACCATGTCGGCCATGATGGTTAAAAGGCGGGGTCATCAGACAAATTTTTTAAACTAGATACCCTAATAATGATTATGGCCAAGTATGGTTAAATTTGTCTCAGTAGTTTCAGAGAAGAAGATTTTTGTAAAAGATTACAAAAATTGTAAAAAATTGAATATAAAGGGCAATAACTCCTGAAGGGGTCGACTGACAATTTTGGTCATGACGACTTATTTGTAGATCTTACTTTGCAGAACATTATTGCTGTTTACAGTTTATCTCTATCTAATAATATTCAAGATAATAACCAAAAACTGCAAAATTTCCTTAAAATTACCAATTCAGGGGCAGCAACCCAACAACGGGTTGTCAGATTTGTCTTAAAATTTCAGGGCAGATAGATCTTGACCTAATAATCATTTTTAGTCTGTCAGATTTACTCTAAATGCTTTGATTTAAGAGATATAAGCCAAAATATACATTTTACCCCTATGTTCTATTTTTAGCCATGGCGGCCATCTTGGTTGGTTCGCGGGGTCATCGAACACATTTTTTTAACTAGATACCCTAATAATGATTGTGGCTAATTTTGGTTAACTTTGGCCCAGTGGTTTCAGAGGAGAAGATTTTTGTAAAAGCTAACGACGACGGACGACGGACGCCAAGTGATAAGAAAAGCTCACTTGGCCCTTTGGGCCAGGTGAGCTAAACAAAGGGACATAACTCAAGAATGGTAAAAGTGTCGCCACCAAATTTCGTAATTAATCTGTATTAAGTAGTAATAAGCATTGTGTATAAGTTTCATAACATTTGGTTGAGGCAAACTAAAGTTAGAAAACGGAAACAAAAAAATTGTACTTGATCTTAGTTTTGTGGTAATGAATATTGTGTATAGGTTTCATAATGTTTGGGTGGGGCAAACTTAAGTTACAGAATGTAAACTAAAAATTTTGCAATCTTTCGATTTATAAAGGGGCATAACTCAATAATTGTTAAAGTGACACTACCCAAATTCAACTTGATCTGTGTTTTATCAGTGGAAGTCAAAATTAAACATTGCATTGTATAAAGCATTGATTGAAATTGATTCAACTATAATCATGGACAAAGGAAGATAACTCCAATTATAAAAATAACTTGATATTTAGAAGAAAATAAAAATTTTGCAATTTTTCCATTTATAAAGGGGCATTAATCTAGAGTGGTTTAAGTGACGCCACCAAAATTCAAACTTGATCTGTGTTTTGTGGTAATAAGCATTGTGTATAAGTTTCATAACATTTGGTTGAGGCAATTAAAATTAGAGAACGGATACCAATTTTGGGATGTACGTACGTACAGACGGACAAGGGTAAAACTCAATGCCCCATCCATTACGGCGGGGCATAAAACAATTTATATACAATTATATCATCGCAGTGCATTTCAATGCATGTACCACCATATTTGGGATTCTCTCTCAATGCATGTTATACTGTCGTTGGTGCTTTGCGTCAAATTGTGGTCTTGCACGGAGCACTTCAAAATATTGGTAAAAGAATTGTCCAAATCACATTCCACTGCTGTGTTTGGTAGTAAGGCTGTTGCCTGTGTTACCACTGTAACTACATATATTCCACTCGTGTCTTACATTTAGAATATATATAATATTATATTTGTCCATAAATTATACAATAAAATGCTCCGCAGGGCGCAGCTTGATACGACCGCAGGATCGAACCCTGAACAGTTGGGGCAAGTATGGACACAACATTCAAGCTTGATACAGCTTTGCATTTGGATTGTGATTAAATATTTGACACAGCATAGGTTTCTGACACAGAATGAATGTGGTGTAAGAACTTAAAAATTTTAAATTGGACATTCACCTATTATGGTCCAATATCCAAAATCTAAATACATGGTTAGATTCAGCATATCAAAGAACCCCAAGAATTCAATTTTTGATGAAATCAAACAAAGTTTAATTTTGGACCCTTTTGACCTCAATGTGGACAAAGTTGATAACGGGGCCCAAAAATCAAAAATCTAAATACATGGTTAGATTCAGCATATCAAAGAACCCCATATATTCAATTTTTGTTGAAATCAAACAAAGTTTAATTTTGGACCCCGATTTGGACCAACTTGAAAACTGGGCCCATAACCAAAAATCTAAATACATGTTTAGATTCAGCAAATCAAAGAACCCTAAGAATTCAATTTTTGTTAAAATCAAACTTAGTTTAATTTTGGACCCTTTGGACCTTAATGTAGACCAATTTGAAAACGGAACCAAAAATTAAGAATCTAAATACACGGTTAGATTCAACATATCAAAGAACCCCAATAATTCAATTTTTGATGAAATCAAACAAAGTTTAATTTTGGACCCTTTGGACCTCAATGTGGACCAATTTAAAAACGGGGCCCAAAATCCAAAAACTAAATACACGGTTAGATTCAGCATATTAAAGAACCCCAAGTATTCAAGAATAAAACCCCATTGAAATTGGTCAAGAAATAAGCAATTTATACGAAGTATCTTCTTTTGCACAATACTGTGCAATTAAATATTTCTTGCTATTGCGCAATACTGTACAATTGACAATTTCTTGCTATTGCGCAATATTGTGCTATTGGATATTTCTTGCTATTGCACAATACTGTGCAATTGAAGAATTCTTGCTATTGTGCAATACTGTGCAACTGAAGATTTCTTGCTATTGTGCAATACTGTGCAATTGAAAATTTCTTGCTATTGCTCAATACTTATTATATAATAATTTACACATCCTGTTTGGTGTGTATCTCCTACCATATCATTATTATTTGCTTTTAAATATAAATCAGAAATAACAAACTTAAAATGGATAATTTTAAAAGAAAAAAAAAGGAAAAAAAGGAAAAAAAAAAAATCCACCCCCCCCAAATTTGTTGAACCCCCTTATGATTCATCACCCCCAAACTCAATCCCAGCCTTCCCTTTGTGGTATGGTACCTTGCAGTACAATTGCAGAGAGATCCATACACTTGAACACAAGTTATTGTCTGGAAACTAGAAAAATGTGTTTTTTAGCCCCTTTTTGGCCCCAAATTCCTAAACGTTTGAGGCAATTACCCCCAAACTCAAACCCAGCTTTTCCTTTGTGATATGGAACCTTGTAGTACAATTTCAGAAAGATCCAAACACTTACACACAAGTTATTGTCCTGAAACTAGAAAAATGCTTGTTTTTTGCCCCTTTTTGGCCCCTAATTCCTAAAATATTGAGGCAATTACCCCCATCATCAATCCCAGCCTTCCCTTTGTGGTATGGTACCTTGCAGTACAATTTCAGAGAGATCCATACACTTGAACACAAGTTATTGTCTGTAAACTAGAAAAATGCTTATTTTTGGCCCTTTTTTGGCCCCCAATTCCTAAACGTTTTGGCAATTACCCCCAAACTCAATTCCAGCTTTCCCTTTAAGATATGGAACCTTGTAGTACAATTTCAGAAAGATCTATACACTTACACACAAGTTGTTGTCCTGAAACTAGAAAAATGCTTGTTTTTTGCCCCTTTTTGGCCCCTAATTCCTAAAATATTGAGGCAATTACCCCCATCATCAATCCCAGCCTTCCCTTTGTGGTATGGTACCTTGCAGTACAATTTCAGAGAGATCCATACACTTGAACACAAGTTATTGTCTGTAAACTAGAAAAATGCTTATTTTTGGCCCCTTTTTGGCCCCCAATTCCTAAACGTTTTGGCAATTACCCCCAAACTCAATTCCAGCTTTCCCTTTAAGATATGGAACCTTGTAGTACAATTTCAGAAAGATCTATACACTTACACACAAGTTATTGTCATGAAACTAGAAAAATGCTTGTTTTTTGCGTGTCAATTTCCGTTTCTGTATGGCGTTACACTGAATCGCACAACTGATTTAACTAAATTATAAGATATGGATGCGCGCGGCTCTTTGCTGGACGAGGGTTTTTAGAAAAAGTACTTTTTTCTTGTTGACCACAATACGCGGGAAATCCGACATACGAGGTATTAACTTGGCATGGCCTGATGCTAATTGTATTAATGTTTCAGTTTTTAGACATATGGTCGAGATGAATAGGGAGGTTTTTGCAAATGAAAGGCTGGCTTAACCCTTCTATGTTGTTAGCCTCAACCAAGTCAGGTTATCTTAGCAATGTATTGTTCCCAATCTGATTGAAATGTAAATCCTATGTCAAAGCTTTGCTAACAAGGATATGACAACAGTCAGTGTTACTTTCTGTTCTGTAAATAATTTTATTAGCAATGAAATTTCAGCCTTCAAATATTTGAAAGTGTGTATTATTCCCACAAAACCAGAGGATCTTGAAAGGTCTATGAAACAGAAAGTAGAACTGATTGTTTTTAGATCCTTGTTATCAAAGCTTGCACACATGATCTGTATTTCAATCAGATTGTTTTGTTCCTTGTTGTATCTTGTTGTTTGCAGGTTTGTGTTTCTGAGGAGTCAGGTCTTGTTGGTTGACTAGCAAGATGTGCTATCCAGTATTTTTCTTGATTTCTGCTAGCTGTTTATTATATTCTTCAAGAACATGATAAAATACCTTTTATATGCAATGTTATTATTTCTTCCTGCTCAGATCTTGTGTTTAAAAAAATCTCTCTTTCCTCTGAAGTTTCTTTTCTTTCTGGAAAAGGAAAAATAATTTGATCATATATATGGTCTCATGCAAAAGGTTAACATTTTATATATCTTATAAGCCAATCATTAGATAACATTCAACATCAGATATCTAACTACTGATTCTGATTATATTTTACATGAGATGTCTGATACTGATTGTTTATTACATCATATATCATATATTGATTATACTTTATATCAGATATCTGATAACAATTACATTTTACATCAGATATCTGATAGTGATTATATTTTACAACAGATATCTGATACGGATTATATTCTACATTAGATATCTGATACCGATTACATTCTACATCAGATATCTGATCCTGATTATATTTTACAACAGATATTTGATACAGATTATATTCTACAGCAGATATCTGATACGGATTACATTCTACATCAGATATCTGATCCTGATTATATTTTACAACAGATATCTGATACGGATTATATTCTACAGCAGATATCTGATACCGATTACATTCTACATCAGATCTGATCCTGATTACATTTTACATCAGACATCTGATATGAAAGTCTTGGGTAAAATATCGCTAGTATTGTCATTTTAGCGATATTCTTTAACATTGTCATAAAGCGGGAGGTTTGGCTAGCCATTAAACCAGGTTCAACCCACCATTTTTCTTAAAATGTCCTGTACCAAGTCAGGATTATGGCAGTTGTTATCAAATAGTTCGTTTCTATGTATGTTGGCGTTTGTTTTTGTTGCACTTCAGTGTTTCTGTTGTTCATTTGTTTTCATCTTATAGTAGATGCGTTTCCCTTGGTTTTAGTTTGTAACCCGGATTTGTTTTCTCGCAATCGATTTATGACTTCTGAACACTGGTATACTTAACTGTTGCCTTTATTTGGGCTAATTCTAAGGCCAATGTGCAATGATTTATGAAAAGACTGTTTCATATAAATGTCACTTAAGGATGTACTTAGGTGAAATTAAAAACAAATCTAGAATTTAAAATTGATACTATAAGTTGGAAGTGCATTAGTTAAGGAACAAAATAAGCTAAACATATTGATAGGCTATGGAGCTCCTTTCTCGAGATATCTTTTTTAAGTGGCGGGAAAAGGCTGACTCAGACTTTTACCTTATATTTGCATTGGTATTATTTGGATCTCAAATCGAAAGAAAAGAAATCTAGAATCTATAAATTTTGGTAAATGACCATTTATTAACTATTGAAGTCTTAGATGAAAAGAAAAATGGGGGTTATGGGGCAAAATATTTTACCCTGTATCGTAGGAAGAAAACCAAGGAGTCTGAAACCAATTCCTAAACCTGACCTAAGTACATCCTTAAAACAAACTAACGTATCAGGAAACACATTTTCATGTGCTTTTGACTTTGGTTAATAGTTTACTCATTGGAAAAAAGAGGTGGAACATACAAAAGGGACATTCACACTCATAAGTCAAAAATAAACTGACAAAGCCATGGCTAAATAAGAATAAATGGAGAATGTGTCCCCATGGACACAGATGATGCCCCCGTTTGCATACAACATTATAAAGGGACATTACTCAAGAACAATTGTGACGCTACCCAAATTTGTACTTGATCTGAGTTTTGTGGAAATAAGGATTGTGTATAGGTCTCATAATGTTTGGTTGGGACAAACTTAAGTTACAGAATGGAAACTAAAAATTTTGCAATTTTTTCGATTTTTAAAGGGACATAACTTGATAATGATTAAAGTGACGCCATCAAAATTCAACTTGATCTGTATTTTGTGATAATAAGCATTGTGTATAAGTTTCATAACATTTGGTTTAGGCAAACTTAAGTTAGAAAACGGAAACTAAAAATTTTACAATTTTTCCATTTATAAAGGGGCATAACTCTAGAACGGTTAAAGTGACGCCACCAAAATTCGAAGTTGATCTGTGTTTTGTAGTAATAAGCATTGTGTATAAGTTTCATAACATTTGGTTGAGGCAAACTCAAGTTAGAGAACGGAAACCAATTTTGGGACATACGTACGAACAGACGGACAAGGGTAAAACTAAATGCCCCCTCCGCTACGGCGGGGGCATAAAAAGACCAAAAATCAAACAAGTCAACATAGAAAATTAAAGGTGTCAGACCATCAATTCACTGACCTCAATTTAGAACGTATGTTAAAGTAGCCCTTTCCTGACAAAAAAAAAATAGTGCTTTTAAAATGCCATTGTTTACTTGAAACTAACCAACAAATGAAAATTTTGGTGCAAGAGAAATATATTTAGACAATTTTGAGCTAAAATTTACTTCTCCATGAGTTTGCATTAAAAATTGAGGATTAATGCGCTCCATTGTATACCTATTTAACATATTTAAGATTTCCAGAAAACCAGGGGTTATTTTTAGTAGTACTTGGCTTCCGAACAGTAGTTCTTCGTAAAAAGACTTAAAATATAGGTTGAAAATTGGCATGTAGAAAGATGATACATTTATGAATCAGGCTATACCTGGTTTGATGGAGTAAAAGGTAAAATATTTCAAAAGCTGTGAAACTTACAAAATGGTTGATGAAATAGGGATTTTAAATTAGTGGTCTGACACTTAGGCTGAGCAACACGAACCCCGCCAAAAACTTTGGTAGATCTCAGGTGGCCTGGAAGGGTAAGCAGATCCTGCTCCACATGTGACACCCGTCATGTTGCTTATGTTTGTACAAAACCGGTGATAAGTCTGATTGTTAGGTTACATTGCAAAGTATACATTATCTCCTTAATATGATTTTCAATAACTGAACTACATAAAATACTACCAATATCATTTAAAACCTATATTTTGTGGCATATTTATCATGTAAATTTACCTTGTTTTTTACTTCTTTTTATCCCAAAATAAATGAAAATGGACACTAACACTATTACCACTATAGTAATTCCAGTTATTATAGCACCTCTGAAATCAATTGAAATATAGATCTTAAGCATTATATCATTTATGGTTTTACAGAGCCTGAATTGATAACCCAGTATCTTTATCCAATGTCAAGATTAGTCATTTTTGAACAAAAAATTAGGTAGCCTTCTTTGCCTCAAAGTTTGATAGCAACTAAACCTTTATGCCAATTTTCAATTTTTAGTAAAATTGAATAACTGACCAACTGAAATATAGAATTGTTGTTTAGATCATCATGCATATGTTTATCATATAACCATTCAAAACAAGGCTTTTTTTTTAAATTGAATGCGATTTCTGGGGTTTTTGTGCCATTGGTTTGCTGTCTCAAAGATAATTCACTAGCAAGTTGAAGGTGTGTTTGATTTGTCAATTTCATTTCAATCAATTACTTCTGTTCATATATAACTAGGTTATGTGTAAATCTATAATGTAAACAGTAGTTTACAATGATGTAATTGATTTAAGAAAAACCCTGTTCATATCCTTATCATAAATCTCTGATTTGTATGTGCATTTTTCAGAGGATTGCTACAGAAGGTGTAATAATTAACTTAGTAGGGTA